ACGACGTGAAGCCCGCGTTCGGTACGAGCAGTGAGGCTATCGAGCGCTACTACTCGACGGGGATCATCACATGGGGTCAGCCCGTGCAGGACCTCATCGACGACGGCCAGCTGTTCATACAGCAGTCTAAAGCGGTGGACGTTCAGCGCGGTTTGGTTAGCATTCTGCTGGAGGGCTCGGCCAACGCGGGTAAGACGGCGTTGGCCGCGAAACTGGCGCTCGAATCGGACTTTCCGTTCGTCAAACTCTGTTCGCCGGAGGATATGGTGGGCTTCACGGAGACCGCAAAGTGTATGCAAATTCGCAAAGTCTTCGACGACGCCTACAAATCCACGCAAAGTTGTATTCTCATCGACGACATCGAGGGGCTGTTAGACTACGGAGATATAGGCGCCCGCTATTCAAATCTGGTACTTCAGGCGCTGCGCGTACTGCTGAAGAAGGAGCCGCCGCCCGGCAAGAAACTGCTGATTCTGTGCACAACGAGCCGTAAGGACGTGTTGGACCAGATGAAGCTGCTGTCGTCGTTCACGGCTGTACTCCATGTGCCGAATCTGACGAAACCCGAGCACCTGATCACTGTTCTGCTGAGTTTGGCCGAGAATAACGAGAACTCGTGTTTCACTCGCGACGAGATCTCGAGAATATCCAAAAAGATTTCCTCCAATCGTCTCTCAGTGGGCATCAAGAAGGTGTTGGGATTCATCGACTGGGCCCGTCAGGTGAGTACCCGATCTATGATCGCAATGTGATTAGTGATTAACAATGAGTTTGTGTTGTTTGTGGTGAACAGATGGAACCATCGCATCGCAGCTCGAAGTTCCTGATGAAGTTGGAGGAGGAGATGGCCATCATCTGAACGGCTGTGCTCTAGAAGTTTGGTCTTAAGTATTAAACAATATATCAATAAATATATATTTATTATTGTTAACCAATATATCTATTAATTTGATTGGCAAGCAATTAGAAAAGTGTTAAAATTTTATTTATTTATTGAGTAGTTTTTTGAATGAATAATTCAGTCATTTGTCGAAACAATCAGTGGTTGAGAAACACGATAATATTTAAAAGTTATATAAAGTTATGAACTATAGTTACTATCAATACATAGACACAACTATAATATACAATATATTAATCATCACATCAATAACTCAAATTACTAAATGTTTAGTGGATTTTTAGAAATATTCTCCCGCAAAGTGTAGTTCCCATTAATTTAATTCATTATCTAACCAATGTACTAATGTAATTCCATTTTTATGTTAAAATTCCTAATGATTTGTATTTTATTTGAATTTCAAACACAATGATCACTTTTGTTTTTGAAATCGTTT